ATTCTTAAAAAAAAAAAAAAAAAAAAGGAATTGTGAGCAGGCATCCCCCGGATGTGTGTGTTTGGGCAGATGGGCTATGAGAAGCAGCGGAGGGGCAGGCCGGTGTAAAAGCTGCCCAAGGGACTGGACAAGAACTCAGCCCAGCTTGTCCCTGTTCTGGCTGTCCTGTGTCCTGGGTCTGCCAAAACACCTCCTGGCTCGTAGGCCCTGCCCTAGTGTCTCTGCTTCCACACTGAAGGTCTCTTCCTCTCTCCTTCTCTTGGCCCCTTCCACTCTTCCAGTGGTCAAGATCTGTCCTCCCCCTAGGACCAGCAGGTGGTGAGGCGGTTAAAGATGCTGGACTACCACATGGCTGACCACAGTTCGAGTCCCAAACCTGGCAGCTTGCTTTCTCACTTTCTCTCTCTCTCACTTTGTCCTCTCTGGTCAAATTAAAATAAGTAAACTAATAAATAAAATAGAATAAAATAAAATAAAAATAGACTCGTCCCCACCACCATTTATGACGATAAAATCATATGATGACAGGGCTGACATCACTGCAGAACTGAACATGGCAGAGGTCACCCGGAAATGGAGAGATAAAGAGCATGTCCTGATTTACCTAGTAGCCATGGTCTTGAAAAGATACGGGCACGGGACCAGCAGTTGGCGTAATGGCTATATCACTGGATTCCCATGTAATCGACCACAGTTCAAGTCCGAGAATAGGAGGCTTAAACTCACACCAGGCACGCGTGTATGTGTGCCCAAGATCCCAAGAGGAGAATGGAGGAGAAGGGATTGCGGCATGGCCATCCCTCCCGGGGAATGATTTGTCACTTTCTATCTCTCTGTCTCTCTCTGTCTTTCTGGCGAGCACACGTGCCCTATAGTGAAAACCTCTCAAAAACAAGAAAAAAGCAAAGCAAAGCAAAGCTATGGGCACAAACAAAATGAGTTGTACTTCCCATACGTTTTAAGATAACCAAAGAAATTAATTTTACAGGGAAACCTTTGGAAAAGCTGAAAGTCCACCTGTAAAATAGCCAAGCACCTTTTAGCTTAGCTCTGGTTTACCCCCAGCTTTTCATCTGTCTGTTCTGGGGAAAAAAAGGAGGCACAGCCCAAGTCTCATAAAGGCCTCCTGCAGGCTGTAGGGTCCTCTCACCCTGTAGGCCCTGCTACGCTAGGTCTGCACGACGGGCTTCCACACCAGTGCCCAGACACCACTCCTAAAAAGGGTTTTCTAGGGACCAGCAGGTGGGTAATAGTTATATCACTGGACTTCCACATAGTTGAAAGCAGTTTGAGTCCTGGACCCGGCAGTTTAAAACTCACGCTGGGAGCACATGTGTGAGTGTCCAAGACCCTGAAAGGAAAATGGAGGAGAAGGGATTGAGGCATGACCTTTCCTCCTGGGGTGTGGATGGGATTTCTTGCTTTCTGTCTCCCTGCTTCAGTCTGTCTCTTGGCGAGTGTATACACCTATAGCAAAAAATCTCAAAAAAACAAACAAAAAGGAAAGAGATTTAAACCCACAGGGATTAATGGGGCACCACTGTGCAAAAGCTGCTTCCAGCCTCACTCAGCCCAGCCAGGCCAGTACCACAGCACAAGGGGGTGTCAGGAGGGCGAGCGGGTGGGGGAAGGAAGGGCCCGACTCTGGCTGCGTTTCAATAATTCCAGCCATGGGGACAGGTGGGAT